ATCTTCAAGTACGGCATGGACGCGAGCATGACAATGGAAACATGGAACAAAATGCTGGATCGTTACATCCTCGAAACAGATGCTCAAAAGAAAAGAGATTACCTTCTAGGACTCGCCTGTGCTCCAAATGAGTCCATTCTGAAAAGGTTTCTGAGTTACAAGATATTTTTACGAGGCGGAAAACAAAGAAGAGCAATCTTTCAACAAATTATAATTCAACTACAGATAATGACGAATCCTAGCTTGTTTGAAGTTAATTACGCATATACTTTTCACGCGGAGAGAGGTCTAGATAGGAGTTCGTCTTAGAGAACCCCTAAATCATGGGGAGAGAACCCTATGGGACCACCAAAAAAAATTGTTATTCAGAATAAGTGTTCGTAGACAAAATCTTCGCGGAGAGTAAACCTGTGCGACATCGCCTCTATACCCAGCAATCCTTGGTTCTCACACTGCTGATTTTCATGGAAAGAAGGCTGAAGATATTTCCATCCTTTCTGTTATTCATGCTCACTTACAAGCACCTTTTAAAACGAACAACGAATTGAGTTGGTTCGATAGTTCGTCAAGTAATCCGCGATTTTAGTTATAGCTGCCACCATAGCTGCTTGAAAGAATGGAAACGTACATTCCATGACAAATTCGCCTCATTCTTTTTGACGAGTGTGTGTTTTTTTTAAAACAATTATTGAGAACCTGTCAGAATATTTCCCTATAACGATGAAAAATGCGTTTATATTTTCAAAAACTTAGAATTTGTTTTCTAAATGTCTATAAGGAACACATGGAATTAAGGGTTTGAGGTCGTTTATTTCCAGCAGTGAGAAGTTTCGAGGAAAAAATGCACCTTGCCCGAAACCAGGATATGTTTTTTTCTACTTCAATATGAACGGTAATAATGAACACATGGACATCTCGAAGTGAGGAATCTTGCGACTAATTTATTATAAGTAATTATAATGTTCCAATCATCAAAGCCCTAAAGCTAGAGCCCACGCAATGATGAATATTTTTTCTATGCCTTGTCAATGCATCCCTTTATGTTGCACTAATAGTTCTTGTATTTTTTCGCAAAGGTACATCGAAGTCGCCAAAAATCCGTCAATTGTTCGCCAACAGGACTTCTTTACTGTAATCGCAGCCATTTCGAGGAATCCCAAGGGAACTGATTTGGCCTGGGACTTCTACAGGTACGTC